TGCTGCAGCCTTCCTTGTGTCTTGATTTGAAGAATTCAAGTCTGGAGAGTCCACAACACCGGATAACTGGGCTCACCCACAGCTATGTTGTGTTTCTAAGTCAGTCTAATTTCATTTCTATTTTCTAATTCCAGTTTCTAATCACTGATGCTCATTACGGTATGAAGCGAGACCCCGTGTGTCGAAAAGAGGTGGACTGAGACCCTGTAGGGACAACAGGCTGAGAGCAAGGTGGAGAGACCTTGGAGCCAGCAGGGAGATTATTTGCCCCTGCAGCTCTGGTATGGCTCTTTTAGAGACAAGCACCTTCCTGGGAAGCGCAGCAGCCCTGAGCAACCCTAGGCCATGTCCTCTGCCAATGGCAGCCAAGAGGAGCGCAGCACCATGTCCTCAGGGGAGTCATCAGCCCTGCCACTGAAAGACCCTGCAAGACTGGTACCCATGGAGGGAGGGGGAAAGGGTGAGCTGCCCCTGGAGCTTACCAGGACATTTCGGTTGCTCAAAGCCACAGGGGCTGCATGTGACACCCTGGGGGATGGCGGAGAGACCTGCTCATTGGAGTCTGGGCATCAAACACGTGTGGAGTGTGCTTTTCTGAACTGTGCTTGCACTGGGTTCACAGCCTGGGTGAGCTGGGCTGACAAACATGTGCCAGGACTTAGGGCAGCCAGCTCATGTCAGACCTAAGAGAAAAGGGCAGGGAAAAGAGGGCAGGAAGCTGTGGCTCTCTGTGGCTGTACGCACTCTTTGTAAGACAAGCTGGCTCTCTTTAGCCACTGCAAGCTGTCTGGGTTTGCTCGTTTGACCAGAGGAGCAATTGTGGCAGCTCAGGAGCAAGGTCCAGTTGGCACAGCATCCCCTCTCCAACCAGCCACCAGCTGAAAGTGCTGTGGGAAAAGGCAAAAGACAGAAAGATATGCAGAGCAGTCTCCCCTGAGCATACCCTCCCAGCCCACAGAGCCTATTGCACTCCTCCTGCACCCAGCGGTGAGGAGGGCATGGCTTGGGCACCCCACACGGTGCAGGCTGCTCACTGGCTGTAAATACACCTGGGGTAAAGCACCAGGAAGGGGGAAAGCTAATGGAGCAAAGAGGCAGAAGCAGTACAACAGCAAATGTGGCTAAAGCAGTAATAAGTAAAGGAAGTCTGGAAATGAGAGGGAGGTGTTAGCCATGAGCACGGCGAGGTGCAGGGGCGGCCTGTCTCTGAGGACATTAACAAGGCTCAGGTCCTTCTCTGTGCATACCCTGGTCTCCGGGGTGCAGGACATATGTGCTGTGAAGCAAGCAGCAGCGAGGTTCGCAGCTCCTGGCTTCCCAGGCCAGCGTGCCAGTTTCCCCCTCCTTTCCCCAGCACCGAGGCCTCCTCTTCCAGGGGCAACAGAGCGGGCTGACACCTCCGAGCACTGGGGCTTTCTTTTCCTTGTGTCAGCAGCAAAAGCTGGGGAAAGCAAAGCGAGGTGCTGAGATGTGCATAGGTCCTGGTGGCATCTCCCCAGGCTTCCCAGTCAGCAGGATGGGGCCTCCTGTGAGCCAGCCTGTGGCTCCACCTAGTGTTCAGGCTGGCCCAGCCCAGCCCGGGCCAGCCATGCACCCAGCTGGGACTCTCTTTGTTGGACAGATAGGCCAGATCAGAGCCTCCAGCACCCATTGAAGGCACCCTGGCTGGGGGGACCTGCCCCAGATATCCTGGTCCCCACTCTCGGACAAGGCTTCCTGCTCCTTGCTGTCTCCTGGTTGCACACATAACAGGGATCCATATGACTGCTACGGCAAGGACAGGTTCTGGCTCTTGCTCCCTGCGAGGGTCCCGTTGTGAGAGACTGTGATGAGTATGTCTGTTCTCTCCCACCAGGCACTGGCAATCGCGGGGCTGATGCTGGAGGCCCGGACTCCACGTAAGCTTTCTGTGGAGCTAATGAGGTAGGTTTTCAGGGAGTTCTTCAGGAGATGAAATCATTTTGGTTACTTGTATGGTAAACGCTGCCTTGGGCTCGCTTCCCCTGGGGCAGCTTAGCCACAGCCTGGCAGAGCTGTAGCTTGCTGCTGGGCAGTGGGTGGGGTGCCCTTGGAGCTTGTGCTGACCCAGGGCACACTGTGGGAGCTGCTGCCCTTGCACTGCAGTCCTCCCAGCCCTGTGACCTGCAGCAGGTCTGTGTGGGGGTCGGGGCTCTGCCCTAGGGACAGCGGGTTGAGAGGAGCTGAGGGGACAAGGAGTTTGGCCCAAGGAGCCTGGCACAACACTAGTCCCTGACGCACCTTCTCCCCCACGCTGCCAGCCCCGGCCACTAGCCCTTGGCATGGCTGGGAGGAGCTGGGGATGGTATGGGGCAGCGAATAGCTGATCCCCTGCCAGCTGGGTGAGGGGGAGCTCTGGGCACCCAGCTGCGTCCCCACAGACACCCTCCTTGCTGCCATCCTTGGGTCCCCAGGGCTGTGCCAGGTGCCCTGGCCAGGAGCCCTGTTCTCAGATGGAGCCTGGACTCTCGAGGACCCTCCCGGCAGCACCTCCAAGGTGGGGCACAGCAGGCCTCGGGGAGCAAGAGCCTGCAGGGGGGGACAGCACGCAGGAGAGGGAAGAGAGAGGGGACGAGCAGCCCCAGGAGGTGAAGAGCCCACGGGGGGCGGGGGCCGGCTGGTGCCCCAGGAGAGAGCCGTGATCCGGGAGCGGCGGGGCCTGCGTAGCCGCCCAGCTGTGCCC